ATATATATATATATATATATATATATATATCCTTCAGTCTTTTAGGGTAGAAAATATTAATGTTTATAAGCCTTCATCACATTCCTATACACATGCTGATCGTGTATATATTACAGCTCTTCCTATAACAGGATATTGATGGAGTGACTCACTGGGGACCGCTTGGGCATCTGAGTAACCCTCCAGGAAGCATTCCTCTTGTGTTGTATGAACTTTTGTCCATTTTTGGGCTCTTCATTTTGATTCTTTTATTATATATTTTATTCATCAGGATTAGGTTTAGTTTCATACATATGAAATTCCAAGTAATTGTGGCCATAGCCTGGTCTTGATGGTCTTTCTCCTGGTCCCCAAATGCTGCAATTAGAGGTGCATGCCACCATGCCAGGCATAGTTATTTACATCTTGCTTATCTGACATCCTCGGTGGGTGGTGCATTAGTTATGTTTCCATCTTTATCATCTCAAAACTTGACAGAAACAACTTAAAGGGAGAAAGGTTTGTCTTGTTCGCAAATTCCACCAATTATGACAGTGAAGATACACTTGGCCAAGCTGCTCCCAGCATGGCCAGCCAGAGAACTGAACAAGGGGAGTGCTGGCACTCGATGCCATTCTGTTTTCCCCAGCCTATCTTCTCTCTCACTGAATTTCCGCCTGGAAATACCCACATAGACATACCCAGAGATTTGATAGTCTTCTAGGTTGTTGTCAGTCCTTCCTTGGTACAGGGATGGAGGCTTTTCAGTTTGGAGGAAATAGCTAAACAACCATGTATAATGCAAAATAAAATCAGACTATGAAAGAGACTTCTGTACTGTGTTGTTTGCAATACTACTCATAAGATCCAAAACCCAAAACACTTTCAGTGTTCCATCTCAATGAATAAATGAGGAAGATACGGTACAAGTATATTGGAATACTATTCAGCCACCAATGATCATTATGTGGAAAACTTACTGTTTGTCAAGTATTTCATGCAGCCATCAACAATCAAACAGAACTCAACAATTCTCATGAGGGGAATAGATCCGTGATAGGTATTTATAGTTGCAGACAGAAATAGAAGTGAAAATCCCTGGTACTTATAAATAAAAGGCAATTTGACCAAATTTAAAAGTATGTAGGCCAGAAATTTCCAAAACCTTTACATGTTAACTTCATTATTAACACATTCAGTGTTTCATAAAGCCTCAAAGCTAGGCTTAGCATTTCCTTCTCATGTAGCTTGTTAGAGCTGTGCTTTCCTCAACTTGGGCTTTATTTTGCTGTACTTACTCCTGTAAGTCATTTACTGCTATGTATAACTCACTTTGTGATTTGTCTATTTTACTTCACAAAATTAATGTTGTGAAAGTGTAATAATTCACAGCTCCTCAAGAAGTTTTAATGAAGATATGACATTTTCTACAGAGAAAGTGTTTCCCCAGGTGGAGAAATGTCAACTGGCTTTTGCAAAGTTCTCAATTACCAAATTACCAAAAGGCAGCTGTTGGAAAATCAAAGTTATCCTTTGTTACCTAGTGCTCAAGTGTAGGTTGTGTTCTGCCTTCTCCTTTAAACAGAGTTGGAGTTAAATTGTCTGAGCACTAAGAGAAATATCTAAGTTCTCTTCACATTGCTAACCTGTAGCATGTGTAGAACAGGGGCATATGGTCCTCTGTGCTCAGTGAAAGATGGCCAATCTAGACAAGCAATATGGCTCCTGCTCAGCTCAGGGAAGCATCTCCAGAAACTTGCCCTTTACAATTTAATTCCTGGATGTTCCCCACCATGTCACATTCATATCCAGGTCATTTTTGCATTATCTCAATGTATTGGATGTCTGTTGTTACATGACAATTGTCTCCAAATTCAGGGTCTTCAAACATTAATCTTAATCATCTTAGAGTCAGTGTCAATCAGGATCTAGACCTGTCTTAGTTGCGCTTCACAGTTTTAAATTCTTCTAAGAATCGGAACTCATGGTCCTGCGAGCAAAGCCAAGAGAAACTATTTTTCAGATTCACCTTAGCTGAAAAACTATTGCAGTGCACTAGTAGTGTAGATGAGTGTTTATCACTGTGAAAAATACCAGATAGAAGTGATTTAAGTGAAGATTTCTTTTGGCTCCTGGGTTTTGATATTTCAGTCCATTGCTGTGGGCCTGTGCTGAGGAAGAGTATGGAGGAACTGGAACAGAGGGGCACTAGACCAGAGTCGCTCATCTCCCGGCAGCCAGCTTTGCCTTTTAGCATCGTCCCTTTGTTGTATACAGTGAATAATACTCAAAGTGCTGCCAGAAGATAACATGGACAGCCCTGAAGAAGCAGAATAATCAGAGATAAAATTCCAGTCAAAAGTAAAATCTTTTTTTTTTTCTTTTTGGTTTTTTTGAGACAGGGTTTCTCTGTGTAGCTTTGGAGCCTATCCTGGCACTCACTCTGGAGACCAGGCTGGCCTCAAACTCACAGAGATCTGCCTGCCTCTGCCTCCCGAGTGCTGGGATTAAAGGTGTGTGCCAACAAAAGTAAAATCTTAGGAAAGTGTTTTTTTTTTTTTTTTTTTTTTTTTTTTTTTTTTTTTTTTTTTTTTTTTTTTAAACTCGTCTTGAATTTTCAGGAAAAAAGACTTCTTGCAGATGGTTCTCACACTACATACTAATCTAATATTCCCCAGAAGTGAATATCATTTCCAATGATTACTTACATGAGAAAGATTGGTTTTAGTTATACAAAAATGAAAACCTCTGTTTAATGACCTAGAAGTAGGTAAGTTTTACTTAGTTCATGTATTTAATGCAGAGCTATTTCTACTGGCTTATAAGAATTCTGTTCTTCTCTTTGTCTCTCTTTTGGAATAGACTAAGATGTCTAGTGAAGCAGCTGGAGAAAGGTGATGTCAATGTGGTCGACCTAAAGAAGAACATTGAATATGCAGCATCAGTGCTGGAAGCAGTTTACATTGACGAGACAAGGTAAGTCTTACCCCACCCCACTTTTTCTTCATTGCTCCTCTCTTCTCTTCATCTTCCTTTTTGACTCTCCTATATTACATACAAAATTTAGCAATTTTTAATGTGAAATGAAATTCAAAATTTTATTAAAATTTAGAGTTCATTTTCATGTAGCTAGTTAACTGGAATATATTTCTGAAAACATGCTATAGTAAAAAATACTTGAATATAATAAAATAGTCAAACAGTAAATTTATTAAACAAAAATTATTACATTTCTTGCTCCTCCAGCTTCACTGTCCTTAGACTTTTAGATAGCAGGATATATTCACTAATATAAAAATTTCTATTATTTCATATTTCAACATTTTGAGAAAAGAGATCCATGAGATGGCTTCATCAGGACCTGTATGTTGGACTTCTGAAGTTTAGCCAAGTATCCCATGCTACAAGACTAGAGTCACAGTTGACAGTTGGAGGAGGTTTGGAAAAGGAGATTTATTTGAAGAAGTTTCCAGAACAGTACTATGGCTCTCGGCCAAATCTGTTATCCCTCACAAGCATTTGTAAACTCAAGTGATTTGAGCAGTTTCTCCTGGTCCTCAGAAAACACTGAGGCAGGTTTCTGAATTTCCCACCAGAAATGATAAAAAGCTACAGGTAGAAGTGATGTACTTTGAGTTCAGAGTTGAGAGAATGTACAGAAGCAGAGGTGTGCACTTCTGGAGCTCCAGTCAAAGACAGAAAGCAGAATTAGGAGAGGTTACCTGGCATACCAAAGACCATTGATGTTAGATGGTAAAATAAAGGCTGTGACTTCCCACATTGGAGTTAGGGCCAGAATTCCATCAGGGCAGTAATAATTTTGGAGAAAATAAGGTTCAAGTTATATTCTTGAATTATCTCTGAAGAACCCATAAATGACCCACGGTAGGATGAAAGAACCAGAAGTAAGGAATTGATTGTGTGGATTGCAGTAACACCAACAATCCATTAAGATCCTTATCCTTAATTCCTTCTCCATCCAAAATCATCATTGAACTACCAGTAACAGGAAAGTGAGCAGAGGACGAGTGTGTGCATGCCAACAGGTTGGTTCCCCTCCATTCATGTTCACCTAGGTCAGGCCCGACTTGGGTGACAGTGAGAACTGTTAAATATGGGATGGGATTTTTTGTCTCTGTGTACTGGACATCACACACACTGTTATTTAACAGGCAAGGAATTCATATTCATATCCATGGTCAGGATCTGGGCTACGTGTTTTTAGATTCTTGGCTTCTTATTCAAGCAGCTGAAATGAAAATTTGTGCTTGCCTGTTACAGTATGATTCAAAAGTCAAATACATGAAGAAATGATTCAGGAAAGTCTTGCCTCCTTTTTAGTCCCAATGTTCTCAGTTCTCCCACTGAATGTCATATAGCTTCCCAGTGATTTATTAAAGTATTTTATTTTTCTTTCCTCCTTTTATGGAGGTTATGTTAGACCACACATAGTATTTTATTTTACTTGTTTCACTAATCAAGAACTTTTGGGGCTCTGGAATCCTGCATTGAACTTTTATATGCCCTACAATTAAAATGTCTTTAATTCTGAGAGAAAGATTCTTACTACAGGCTGGATAGCACAAGTGACTCTTCTATGGTCCTAGAATATAGTTCCTCTGGTTTGAAATTACAAGAGGCAAAAATCACAGGTTCTTTTTAACTTTATAATCCTTCCCTGACTTGTTGGCTTGGGTGATCTTCACCAAGGACAAATGACGAAAGTAGTCATTCCAAGGGGACAGAGCCAAGTATGTGCTAAATGCCAAAAGTGCGCCTGTAGTTCTTCAGTCTTTTGCTTTTAGCTGTGTTTACTTGTGCACAAGTTGATTGAACTTGTCAGGTCTAACTAAGGGTTCCTCCACTTGTTGCCCTGATGTTGTATATTACGTTTAGTTATAAAATCTAAGAACTTTAAAATTCAACAATTCTTTGGAGGTTTACAACATCTTGAAGCTTTACATCTTGCAGCATAGTGCCAATTCTTATTTGCGTAGATAGTCAAACTTTTATTTGATTGATGGTATGCAATATTTACACATTTATAGGCAATCTCCTTCCCATGGCAAATATGATTTCATGGTTATTTTGCTATCTTAGTGTCCATGATCCTTAAGTCATTTAAATATATGTTAATGTTTGTAAGGATTTTACATTTGAAAATTATTCTCTAGTATAGAACAATGCTCAGCTCAATGGTAGAAATTTAATTTCTGTTGTCTTATTTATTGTCTTCCCCTAGCAAAGTATAACAGTTTTAATGGCACAGTAATTAATTATTTTGAAATATTGTGTCATATAGGTCAGGCTGGCTGTAAACTCATTATATGGTTGAATTGGACCTTGAACTTCTGATCTGCCTGCCTCACTCTCCTAAGTGCTGAGGTAACAGGCTTGCACCTCCACATCTAGTTATGTAGTGCTGTGTATTTAACGCATGGCTTTGTTAGGCAAGTACTTCACAAACTATAGCCCCAGAGCCCTTCTCATTTGTTTTAGTTTTCCAAAAGCATTAGGTTCATTAAAGTAATATAATGCCCCAAACTTACACCATCATCTGAAGGCTACCAGCTCTCCACAATCATATGCAATAGTCAGAGTGATTACTTTTTGCATTTCACTGATGGGAACACTAAAGCTCATTTGAACATCACAGAAGCCCTATGAGACAGAGATTCTGTTATTACCATTTTGAAAATAAGGACAATGAATCACAGAAACACTGCATAGCTTACCCAAGAGAGTACACTGAAAAGGGAGTTAACAGTTCTAGCATCCTTGACACTAGAGTTGGGTTATTAACTAGAATTCACACCCTCATATCTTTATTTACAGTTGACTCATATGTATTTTCAAGGGCTGGAGTGACTGCTTGATGTATGAGAGTACTTGTTGCCCAAGTAGGAGGACCTGAGTTCTGATCCCCAGCACCCATGCAAGAAAGTCAGGCATAGCTGGATCACCTGTCACTCCAGTGCAGGTTGGGGACTGGGACAAAGAATTTCTGGAGCTTGCTGGCAGGGGAGGTAGAGAGCTTCAGGTTTAGAGACAGCCCACCTCAATGGAGTAAGGTAAAAAACAAAAAACTACACACACCTGATATCCTCTTCAGGCCTCTAGGTGAGTGCAGGGATGTGCACACATATACACCACAAACATATATGCACACAATGTTCTCCTCTCTCCTCTCTCTCCTCTCTCTCTCTCCTCTCTCTCTCTCTCTCTCTCTCTCTCTCTCTCTCTCTCTCTCTCTTTCTCTCTCTCATGCACACACACACACACACACACACAGACACATACTTTTAGATTGTTTATGGACATTTTGATCACAGATTCTTAGATGCCATGGTGTGTGGATAGTATTACTCTCATCTTGTCCCAGTTAAGTTTTTTTGTTGCCTTGAACTTGGCTGCAATAGGACATTTTGCCCTGGAGAACATCAAATGCTACACATTATTTTTGTCTTCCATGGAAAGCCTATACCTATGCATTTGCCATCATGCCAGCTGTTAGACCTAAGACCACATCTCAAGATCTTTAATTCTGCTATAGATGTATACTTAAGATATTTTGAACAAAGCCATACAACAAGGATTGATTTCCTATATATTTTGTAAGGCATGGAGCAGGAAGCTGAGGATTTCTCTGAGATGTGTTTGTGTTTGCAATTATTGACATATCATTTGCCTTAGGAATTCTAATAAAACATTGTATAAAATAAGGAAGGATTGGGCAGCATTTAGTTCATGTTAATTTATATCTTAAGATCTCCTGGTTTACAAAAATTGGGATCTGGAAATTCTTTCTAGAAAGAAAATGATTTCGTGAATGTTCCATAGAGATATTTGAAAATTGGATAGTCTGAGGAAAAGATTAGCACAGGGTAAAATAGGAATTGTTAAGCAGTGTGTGTGCGCGCGCACGTGCACACACACACACACACACACACACACACACACACACACACACACACACACACACACGCACACATGCACGCACACACACTTCTTCCTACTAAATATGAGGAACTACAGGGTTCCACTTAAAACAAAAATCTCTAAAAACGATTTTGGTTAGGAAAACAAAAAAAATTCTGATAGAAATGGAAACATGACTTTTATGGAGAATATAGTATAATCCCACAGCATGTATGATAATTTGTTAGGTTTTATAAAAGACATTTTCATATGCAAATGCTGAAATCTGTGGTCTTTAAGATGTGTCTCTAGAGTCTATTATTTTTCAAAGTTACACTGTTGTAAGCCATGTGATCTAAGAAAAATCCATGTGTCCTTATTTGGATTGTAACACAGCCAAGCAAAGTAGCATCCTTGGCCTCATAAGTAGCAGCGTAAGCAGATAGATGCCTTGGGAGGCATAATTTCAGCAGTGGATATTGTGCTTACTAGTATCTCAAAAACATAACTTACTATTTTGTTTTAGTTAATATGAACCTGTCTTTATGATAATCGTGACTAGAATTTAGACTCTAGACTTAAAAAGAGCAAGGCATTCAAAATCAGCATCCTCCAGACAAAACTGAAATGAAGTTACTTACTCTAGAGTACTTAGCTTTATCACTTATGAAATACAGACAAGGGTTGACATGAGGATTAAATGTGACATAATGACAGGTAGAGTAAAAATTGGATTGTAATCATTATTTTTATTATATGGGTAAAATGCAATATACTTGTATGCTTGGTATATAATATATTAAGATATAGAACTTACATCTCCAAAAAACATTAAATAATTTCCTGAAAGCAGTTCGGAGTCTTGGAGAAAATGATGACAAGCAGGGAATATAAAAGGATGTGCAAAATGATGTAAGGGGACTTTAATGCAGATATCCACTGGCTAGCACAGCCTCACTTGACTAGCAAGTCTAACTAGTTCCATGAGTTCTCATCTTGGGTTAGGCCATACTAAATTGAGAATACACTAATGCCAGTCAATAGTCCAAAAATTTGCT